CCAGGGTTTTCTTAGGAACTGGACAGTTTTCTTGGAAAACATATGCCAAGTGATCCCAAAAAGAAACCACCCCACTCCCTGCTTGTCCCAGTGGTTTAGGGGTGTGAAGGTCCTGGTGTTTTGCATGGAAATTAAATTTAAAAATTAAAATCAAGGACAGCCAGCAGTGTTAAATGTTAGTTTTAACTGATGTTAAGTGTTAGTTTGAAGTGATGCTTTCCAGAGGAAAAAAACAGGAAAAGCTCCATGTTTTGCTGTGAAATGTGAACATTTATAGGGCTTAAAATCACTGTCTTAAATCATGGAATGGTTTGGGTTGGAATTGGCCCTAAAGACCATGGGCAGGGACACCTCCCACTATCCCAGGTTGCTCCAAGCCCCATCCAGCCTGGCCTTGGACACTTCATGGATTTCCCATTGGGCAGAATGAGCCTTTAAACACACCCAGGTCCTGACAGAACAAACAGGAAAGGGAGAATTTTCCCATGACTGGAATCTATACCCAGAGAAAAGGAGCTTTGACCACTCTTGTGGGAGGCAAAGATGTTTTGGGTACATCTTCCTCACTTGTTTGAACCTCCCACAAACCTGATTTTCTCCAGGTGGCATCTCCATGGCACAGAATTTCAGGGAGATGCAGGAGATGTGTACAAATGTCACAGCAGGATGAGAGGGAATGGCCCCAGGTTGTGCCAGGGGAGGTTTAGATTGGATATCAGGAAAAAATTCTTTCACAGAAAGGGTTGTCAAACATTGAAACAGCCAAGTGGTGGAGGGTCCATCCCTGGAAGTGCTCAGAAAATGTCTGGATGTGGCACCTGGGGACATGGGTTTGTGGTGAACGTGGTAGGGCTGGGTTGATGGTTGGACTTGATGATCTTGGAGGTCTTTCAACCTTAATTCCACAATTCTAGGGGTGATTTATGGTCCTTGAAGTGTCAGAGGGCACACACAGAGCTCAGACCAGCCTGGGCTCTGGGGTCAGCCTGGGGGCAGCATTCAGAAATAAAAATGACAGCTTTCCTGGAATTACAGCAAAAACAAAGCTTGGGCTGCTAATCCATGGAGAACAACTCTGCCTCTTTCTTCAATTAATGCTGAGCACCAAAACCTGCTTAGTGAAGTGAGGGCTGCTTTGTTCCTGGCCCCAAATCCTGCCCCAAGAGCTCTGTGGACACAGCAAAGCTTTGGGGTGCTGAGGGCTCCCTGTGGCCAGCAGGTCACACCACAGGACAATTTCCTGCCTGTGGACAGCAAACCTTCCCACTGGAATGTCATGGAATGTCATGGGGAGCTCTGCAGGGCCCCAGCTCTAGAGAAGGCTGTCAGAGGTGCTGTGTCCCCCTGGCACAGGGGAATTCCTTCTGGGCCATCCATGTGTTTCTGCTGGGTCAGGAGTGGAGCCTCCCTCCCTCATCCACAGAGAACTTCAGGGAGAGCCACCAAAAAAACTTCCCAGGGTTAGTTTTAGAGGGATTTCAAGGCTGGATCCATGCAGGGAGCAGGGATAGGAGCAGAGCCTGGCTGGATGATGGGCATGTGCAGCACAGGAACTTTCCCTCCCTTTGGCTCATCCAAGAGCTAATCCATGACTTTTACACATGACTTGTGCTGTCTCTTCGCCCTTGTGGTTCATAGATGTGGCTCTGGGTAGTTTGCACTGATTGTGCAAAGCTGGTGGAGATTTTCACAAGATTTACCCAAGACCTGGCACCTTTCACCCATCGCAGGGCCTGTGGTGGCACCAAGAGGAGCTTCCCTGGGACTGTAGAACAAAGCCCTGCTTCCCCCTGTGGATTGGCACAGAATTTCACCAGGTGTGGGCACCCCAGGGTGGGTTTGGGCTGGGCAGAGGGCCCAGGAGCCTTTTGGAGCTGCAGCTTTTCCAGCTGGGCAATGGGTTGCAAAGCTGGTGAATGAAAGTTGAAGGAGGACTGGGAAATAGGAACAGGGAGCTGGCTGGGAGCAAGGAAATCCATGATTAATGTTTGTTTAGGATCTCTGGGTCCTGTCTGAGCTTCTAAAGGCAGTGACTTTTAATTAATTTGATTTTGTTTTTAAACCTGAAGTTGTGGTGTTGTCTTTGCTGGCAGCAGCCCTTTGTCGGGTAGGAATATTCAGCTGCCCCTCAGCCAGAAAAGCTGGGAATCCACTTTTCTGCCACCCTCTCCTCCCAGCTTGGCTTTGCTGACATCTGAAAAATGACTTTTCCCCTCTCTGAATGCATAATTGGTTATTTATCCACAAACCATGGCGTGTGTACTCAGTGTACCTGACCTAGAAAAAACCAGATTAGTCAAGACCTGTCCCAGCAGATGTGAGTGTCAGTCATCATGTGATCTCCATATAATTTATGAGGTCTTAAATTACAAAATAATGGATCTTTTCAGTTGGCATTTTGGCACAGGATGATAGGATTACATTTTATGTGAGAATATCCACCACAGCTCTTGCCCCATAAAACTGCAAACAGAAATTTGTAAGCATTGGCACTGGTTTGGTTCCCAAAAAGACACCCATTATGCTGGGATTACAGGCAGGCCATGGATGTGGGGCCTGGAGCTTGTCCAGTCCCAGGCATTTCTTTCCCTCCTCTCTTTTACCATTTCCTTCAGAAGCCCAGACAGTGGTTTCTAGCCTGGATTTTTCTTTCTTCCCTTGGATTTTACCAGAGGAAGGTCTGTGGAGCACACCCAGAGCAGAAAGTGTCTCAGGACTCTGGAAATGAGAGGTTCTGCAGCCACCAGACATGAGAACAGCCCTGTCCCACAAAGCTCCCAAACCCCACAACCTCTGGAATCTCTTCTTGCTTTACAAGAGTAAAGCAGCAGCTTTAAAATAAGATTTCCAAGCTGGCAGTTGGATGTTGCCTACTGAGAACAAGCTGAGTATAAACAGGTTTCTCATTTCTGTAAATCTGAATTAAGCAGGGCTTTGCCTCAGAGAAGAGCATTTTCTTATGTTCCAAATATTTTTTCTTGCAAGTAGGAAGAAGTTTTTAGGCACAGGGTGGGATTCTTGGGGCTGTCCTGTGCAGGGCCTGGAGCTGGACTTCCATGATCATTGTGGGTCACTTCCAGCTCAGGATATTCTGTGGTTCTAAATGCACCACTCAGTTTTTTAGTGAATCCTTCTCACTCTTGTCCCTTCTCTCTCCCACCTTTAGAAATGAAGTTTGTTAATTAATTATTCCTGCTCTTTTTCCTTCCCTCTCTCATCCCTAAAAATGCAGCTTGTGTCTCATTAAGCTCCTGCCAATTCCTGGCAGGGTTTGGGATGGGGTGCTCCATTTCTCACATCAAGTTTGGGATGTGTCAGAGCTGCTGATGGTTCCCCAGCCCTCCTCTCTGCCATGGGATGAAGGATTTGCTCCTTAGGGAGAACTCTGCCCTCTCTTTGCCTTTTGATCTGAAGGGAACAACTTCTCTGAAATGCACAGATTTCATGGCAAGGGTTGAGATGGGCTGATCAGCCAAAGGAAATATGGATTTTAAAATTCCCTGTTAAGAGTTTGGGTGCAGTGGGAAAGGGGCACAGGCAGGAAAAGTGACAAGGCACTGGTTAAATGGCAAATATTGCTGCTTCCTAAAGCCCAGCTCATCCCTTGGGCTGGAGGTAAACCTTTCCCAGTTGCTGACAAATTCCCTGTCACTGCCTATCCCTTGTCCTGCCACACTGACCTCATTCCACCAACTTTTTTCAATGATCTCTCCCTGTTTTCACATTCTTCTGCTGCAAAGTGCAATTGTCTGGGGGTTTAATCTCCAGAAAAGCCTCCCAGGCCAGTCCTGTGTGCAAGTTTCCAGTAAATATTGCTGTAACTCAGAGCTGAAATGGAATATTTTTGGCTGCTCTCATGCTCTCTGTGTATAATGAGTTGATCATATACTTTTTTCCAATAACTGTCATTTTAGGGCTGAAATAGAAACATTTTTGGGGTCTCTCAACCTTGGTTAGCCACTGACTTCTTTATTCAAAGTGAATGCAGTGCTAAATAAATATTCCCTTGGAAGCATTAACATTTTACAGCTGAATTCTTCTCACACTTAAACCTCTGTCACTTTGAATGATCACATTTGAGGTGTTGCTCTTGTATCTCATGAGGCCTCATCAGAGAGACTTAAAATAGAGTTGAGTGGAAAACATCTGCTCAATTAATAATTTGTCTCTTTTTTTGGCAGTAATTCCCTAGAAGTAGCTTTGCCATGGTAATGTAGATTGCTGAGCTAACAAGTTGTAACTTTATATTTTTTCAAATGAAATTGTTCTCCTCATTTCTGTTTCTTACACTTAAGAATGAACCAGCCTGGGAAGGGCTGTAGAGCTTCAAACACGAGCCAAGAGCTGGAGAAAGGAACCAGGTGGTAAAATGCAACACAAACAAATAATTAATTTTCCATATATTTCTGTAATCTATAAAAAGAAAGGTAATAAATTAATTGGAAAACAAGACAATATTGCTGTAACCAGCTAAGAAAAGAGTGCAGCAAATTGGGTTTTGAGTTACCTTGAGGCCCTAAATACCCATTAAACAATCACAGATCCTCCCTTAATTGGGTGCTGTGACACCACTTGTCCATATTTCAGTGGGATCAGCACTCCTGGGCCTTCAGCTGCCTCAGCTTCTGTATGGGAGCTTTGCCCTTGGAAGAACTCTGAGGTTTCAGGCCCTTCTACAGCCGGCTTTCCAGTCCAGCCCTTCCCAGAAATAGTCATAAAATCCCCTGGGATATAAAAGCCCAGGTGCAACAGATCATTAATGAGCTCTTTACTCCTTCCCAGAGGTGGCATTAAAAATAATCAAATAAATTAAATGACAGCTTAATCTGATAAAAATGAAACTTCATCTTTCAAAACTGTAGTAATAATTATCTTTTTTTTCTTATTATCTTTTCTGTCACCAAGCAACTCTTTTTGCCTAATTGCTAAACAATTATTTACATTTCAAACCTCTCTATAAATTCCAGTCTCTAGGAAAACCAGGCTCTGCACTCTGGCAGTGGAGTAAGGAAAAGCCACAAGCTTTTATTATGCCTTTGTAAGCAAACATACATATTGTGGGAAGTTACTGAGTTAACATATGAGAATGAGGATGCACCTGCAGAAGGCAGAAATATTGGCAGGAATCTCTAAAAAAATGAAATTTTCTATTTCCCAACTGGTCCCATGCCAACTGCTGAGGGGGAAAAATGCCAAATGTTGGCATCTTCTGGTTAAAGAAGCTGTTCTGTTCCCTCCCGAGTTGATGCATGTGTTGTAGCCTATCCATAATCTCCAAAGGGAGATCCATTGGGATTTTCACACTTTGTGTTCACCTGTGGAACGTGATGGGACCATCCCAGTGCGAGGATCTGTCGTCCCCCAGCAGCTTTTCTTCATTAACCCCACGTGTGAGCCCCCGTTTTCTGGAGCTGCTCTTTGCCACGTGGTGTTAATCAGGAGTTAATGGGGGGTAACTCCCTGTGTAAACATCTCCCTAGAAATGGGATTCAGATGTGGGATCTCCTCCGTTGGTGATGGCCTGGTCACTGATCTCATCCTGCGGCGCCGGCAGCGCCGTCTTTGTGAGCGGCATCTCTGTCTTGAAGAGAGAATCCATTTTGATCTGGGTTTTAATGTTGAAGGACTTCTGGAAGGACTCAGAAGTGAAGTAGTAGATGAAGGGGTCGAAGCAGCAGTTGAGGGTGGCAATGCACAACGTGATGGGATACATGGTCCTGGCAAACCTTTCCAGGGAGCAGTTGGCAATGGCCTGGGAGCGCACAAGCGCGTACAGGAACAGGATGGAGTTGTAGGGGACGAAGCACACGACAAAAATGGCCACGTGCACGATGATCATCTTCAGCACCTTCTCCTTATTCGTCCCAATCTGGGACAGGGTGGCCGGCTTCCGTAAAGTCCGGAGAACCAGCGAGGAGCACGTGAGGTTGAGCAGCAGAGGGATGATGAATCCCACCACCTCAATAAATATGGTGATCTTGGACAGGTAGGTTTTCCAGATCCTTTTGGAGAACCCTTCGAAACAGGTGGTGCTGGTGTTGGACACGTTGGTGGTGGAGAAGAGCGAGGCCGAAATTCCGCCGCTGAGCACCAGGATCCAAACGCCGGCGCAGACAATGGCGGAATTCCTGCGGGTGCGGATGGTGCGGGAGCGGAAGGGATACACGATGGCCAGGAAGCGATCCACGCTGATGCAGGTCAGGAACAGCATGCTCCCGTAGATGTTGGTGAGGAACGCTGTGCCCGAGATCTTGCACAGGCTGTCCCCAAAGGGCCAGTGCCTGTTGAAGTTGTAGAAAATCTTAAAGGGCAAAGTGAAGACAAAAAGCAAGTCTGAAACCGCCAGGTTGGTCATGAAAATGGCCGTCTCGCTCCGCATCTTCATCCGGAAGAGGAAGACGAAGAGGGAGGCGCAGTTTGTGATCAAGCCAAGGATGAAGACCACACTGTACACGGCTCCGTACAGGTTGTACTTGAAGGAATCATCTGTCAGGCAGGTATGGTTGTTGCTGTGGTTTCCCATGCCAAGTCTGGGATGGGCTTCCAAAGGCCTTCAAAGTCTACTTCAGTGACATCCATAAAATAAGGCAGGGAGCTCGTCCCTTCCCGAAGGAACACATTCCAGGGAGGTGGCTGGACTCCTTCCTACTGCATCTCCCTCGTGGATCCTTTCATCCTAAAGGAGAGAGAGAGAACTGCCATCAGTCTTGAGCCAAAGTGGCCGTGCAAGAGAAATTCCCAAGTTAATGGATGTGCAAACAACAACAGGAATTAGTTTTCAAAGAAGTCTTTATAAATTCCACTATTATTGGGGTTTTTCACAGTTGGAGAATGGAATTTACTGAATTTGGCCTTTCCTTTTCTTTCATACCTCCCTCATACTCCTGTTTGAAGGAGAGTGATTGTTCTGAGCAACCAGGTCTATGGAAGGTGTCCCTGTCCATGGCAGGGGTTGGAACAAGAGAGGCTTTAGGGTCCTTTCCAACCCAAACTGTTCTATGATAATTCCAACATTCCCCTTGGAAAGGTTTTTCTTTAAAATCTGAGATGGAATTGGCCCAGTATGTTTGAAAAGAAATTGAACAGAATAAAACATCTGAAACTTTGCCCTAAAACTGTAACAGGAGAAAAAAAGCTGAAAGTTGTAGTGTTTGATTTAAACTGTGCACAAAGGTGAGTTCTATGGATTTTCAACCTTTTTTGATGCAAAAGTATTAAAAAATCCCACCAAAATCTATGATAAAGAAGAGCTGCTTGGCCTTTTTTTCTAATTGAAAATAGGAGCATCCTTACACGTTTTCCAAAGTGGAAAACTGTTGTAGCTCAGAAATATTTACCAAAAACACTTCCCAAATCCATGTTTCCCTTTTTTTCCTTGCTTAAAAATGTCTGCAAATATGGTATTACTTCTAAAAGGAATTTTTTTGCAAGTGTAAAACTTTCCCAAGAAAGATTTCTCTAAGCTGTACCAACAGCTGCTTTTCATTCCTACTCTTTGTCGAGGTTTGGAATGTGAAATTTGGGAAATCTCAAGGACTACATTCTTGTAAGACTTTGTCCCAACTCAACAAGCTTTGGAGACACATGAAGTGAGCATGTTTTTACTTGGACATAGGTGCTTCCTGAACTCCCTGGATCATCTCTCCTAGCTATTTTAAGTCTTTTTAATGCCCGTGAGAATAATCCCTTGGAAAGCCTCCTCAAGAAAAGTCATTCTGGAGCAAGGGGGGGTTGTGAGTTGGATCATGAGCTCAACACTTCATGGAAATGTGGAGCAAAGCTGGGTCACGAAGGGAAAGACCTTTTCCTTACAAACTCCAGCCAATCAAATAAGAACTAGTTTGGAATCTCCTTGTAATCTAAGAAATTTAGGAGCTACAACGGGGAGTAATTTGGAGGCGAAACCCTTGCGAAGAGTGGGATCCTTTCCAGAGTGAACCCCTGACAGAGGAGTTTCAGCTCCAAACCTGTCACTGAGTTGTGTTGAAGGTTGCAATGGCAACATATAAACAAATAAAATGGAAAACAAATCATGGTTTGGAGACAATTTGGGATGCCAATGATCAAAATCAGATGTTTTCCATGCATTTTCCTCCTGGGAGCTCTTGCATGCGAGCTGTCAGCCTTGCTGGTAAAATGGCAAGTGTTGGGAAAGCTGGGATAGCCACGGCTTTGCTGGAGGGAAAGGGCAAGTTCCTCACCTGGGAATGCCTGGAGAACCACAGGTTTCCCAAAATCTGGTGCTGGGACCCCGGGAGCAGGCAGCACCTCACCTTTGCACCTGGCAAAGTAGCAAGAAAGGAGGATGCCCAGATCTGCCTTCCCAGATGACTTCATCCTTTGGACATCCAAAAAGATGAATTGGAACTTGGAGGTCTCTCCTGTGGAAATGTTTTTCCTACTAAATTCATGGTTAAATGAACTTATTGGAAAACAAGCTAAAAAACTGATATAAAATATTTAAATTTATGGGAAGGACAGGAGTAGAATCTCAAATGTGAAATTGAACTCACTTTCTTTGGGTCTGTGGTAAAAGGAAAAAAGGAAAGGTCTTCCCTGAAAGTTCAAATGCTTTTAAACACAAGCTAAGTTGGATTGGAAAGCTCACATGAGCTCCAACAGGAATAGCTGAGCCTTGGCTTAACCTTCAGCCTAAAGCATTAAATCCTTGTCTTGGAGCTGCCTCCCAGTGCAGACATTCCTGTTATCTCCATCAGCAGTTTGTGTTTATGCTGGAATGTGACTCCCAGGGTGTGTGAACCCCAGGTGTTCCACACTCTCCTGGCCCAGGGTCCCCTCAGAGGGATTGGGCGTCCTTGGGAACCTCACACAGCCTGGGAGCCCCGTGGAAACCCCACTTCCCAACCTGGATTTGGGCAGGTCCTCGAGACCCAGGTTTCAAAGGTGCCTTTGGAACTCTCACCTTTGCTGCTGACCAAGTGCTACCAGCAGCCTGACCCAGATACTCCTCACACAAGAAAAAAGATGCTCCATCACCTGACTCTTTTCTCCCTGCTCTGCTCCAGACAGCCCCAAGGTCACATCCCATTTTTTTTCCAGTGTCTAATCTCTGGGAATTGCCTGCCAGCAATTGTCTAGTTAACTTATGGGCTTTAAAATACAGCCTGCCTTGTTTACCTATGGAACCCTGAGGTGTTTAAACAAGCTGACAAGTGGCTTTGAAACCCAGCCATGTGCTTTAAATTCTGTAGGATGAGTCCACAGATTGAGTTTTCCCAGTGTAAAATTCTCTTTCCTTCCTTTCCACTATGGATTAAAGCAGTGGGATGCTCTTCATGGACACCACGGTCACCACTGCTGTTGCCTTGCTGGGAAAAAAACAATACATTTTTAAAAAACTGAGTAAATACAGGATGACAAAGTAGGTTTTTTATATTTCAGGCAGGGAAAAGCTTTAAATCCTATATTTCAAATGGAGGCCAGTCCAGGAGGGAATGAATGTAATGGAATAAACCCACTCTTTAGTGTGATAAAATTCAGAATATTCTCTCTCCTAGCAGGGATGGTACCAGCAAACCTCCAGCAGCCATCCCTCACAAAACCCTGTAATTCAGAGTGAGGTTCAGCAGAGAAGCTCCAGGCTTTGCTCTTTTATAGCAGAAATATCCCATCCTCCATGGACTGAAAAGAGAGGAAAACTTGGTGTTACTTCCTATGGTGCCTGAGTATCCTGTTTACAATTCCTGTATTTCCTCCTCCCAGCACCCCAAGACACCTCCAAACTGCCAGACTGCAGCTCCATCCAGAGGAGCTGTTTGTTAGAACAGGAATCACTGCAGGGAAAAAAACAAATTTACAACCAGCCCTGTCATTCCATTGTCCCATTGTTCCTGCTCCACACTGATCCCGTTCTCCACATGTGCAGCAAGCTGAGGTCAGGAAAACCAGCATGAAGTTTGGGGCTGGCATTTTTGGCATCATCACATTTTCTTTTAGTCATGTGAGATGTCAGATGAGTGGAACTTTATCAGTCTGGATGTGAAGGACACCCTGAGTGTTCATTTGAGCTCTGGCTTTGGGAGGTCTGGCACAGCCCTGATGGGAAAAGCTCCCAGAGCTGAAGGATCTTTGCTGGATTATCATGCTGTGTACTCAGGTTATCTCTTAAATCTTGAGAAACAAAGGTTTATAGGTTGAGAAGCCAAAACCTGCAGGACAGTGGGGTTTGGGGAGGTTTCTGTGGGTTTTCTCCCAGGTGATGGCACCACTCCTTGTGCTTTGATAGGGTCTCAGCTCCTGGCATGGAAATAAATAGGGATTTTCCTGGGGCACGGCAAGAGCTTTATTTCTGCCTTCTCCTGACAAGAATTCCATTCACTCCAGGGTTTGCATCTCCCTGCTCCTCACCCCATTGCTACAAGGCCTGTGGGATGTGTAACTTACTCCCACCATGGAGCCCAGGGTTACAGCTTTACAACAAACTCAGCTCTGCAGCCTCTTGGCGTTTATTTCCTTCCTTTGCTCCACTTTAATTAGGCAGAAGGTACAAATAAGGGGGCTTTTTGTGGGGAGATGTTTGGGGTTTGGGCAGATTTTTGCAGAGATGATAATTCTGTGTAAGTCTGTAGGGTTCTTTAAGACTGGTGACTATAGATAAAATAAGATTAAACTGCAATTTTCGAATAGATAAAATCAAAACTATTGTATATTCTTAAAAAGCCAAAACCTTCTTCTATCTGAAAAACTGAACATCTCAGTTCCTGCAATGGAATTTCCACTTACTTCTATTTTCTATTGTCAGTAAAAGTTGGTTTTGTTCAGGGAGAGCTCTGAGAATGTGAACTGGCAGCGGCTTTAAGGACAAACCTCCAGTCTGGGGCAATCTGGTGGCTGATGTTTCCCTGTTGGAGGCTGCCGGGGCAGGAGCTGGTGCTGCACAGCGACGCTGCCCCTGTTTTCCCAGCAGTGTGGGTTTATGGAAAGCTGCACCGGCTGGAGCAGGTGATGCTGGATCTGGCTCCTCCAGAGGAAGGTGCAGGGATGGGAAATAGCTTGGGACACCAGTTTTGGGGTTGGGCTCAGCTCGCTGAGTGTCTGTGAGCGCTCCATCCTGGCAGATTCCCAGTTCTCTTCCCCGGTGCGGCGGGAGCAGGGGAAGGCCGGGATTAGAGGGTGGGAAGCGGAGCAGCTGCCTGTAAACAAAGCTCCATTGACGATCCCGAGCGCTGGGAAGGAGAAACGCTTTAATCTCTTTCATTTCCTAATCCTAAGTGATGTATTGGAGAACAGTGGGGAAAGAGCAGACACAAGTGGGACTTTGAAGTCCACGGAGGTTTGTGGAGCTTCAAAGGGCCATTCTTGCCCGGTTTATCGGAGTGAATGCCCGGCCGGTATGCCGGGGAATGGGGACGTTTGCGGGTGATCAGCCTCAAAAACAGGGCAGGAAGGCTCTTATTCATGGCTTTGACACTCATTGTGCTCAGTGTCCCCGGACCTGGCAGTCCCCAGCCCTTGGTGCGGGTGCGACATCGCCTCCTGTACCTGTGGGGAGCTGGCGCTGGGAGGGGCTCGCTGCAGCCAGGTTTCAGCAGATGCTTTTTCAGAGAAAAACCCGAAACATGGGGGGCTTGGGGAGGCATCGCCTCTCACTGGGCCGGGAGTGAGCGCAGGGATGGGGTGGGAGCCGCTGCTGTCCCCTGGTCTGGGCTGGCCTTGGCTCCTGGGGACCTTCACACGCCCTCCAAGCTCAGCATCTCCTTTCTGCTGTGCACCAATGCAGCAGGACCCCGATTCGATTCTTCTCCAGGATGGAGCAGGGAACGAAACCTGAGCCTCTCAGCCCGAACCCTAAAGGCGCTCTCCTTTTTTCTTCCTTTTTTTTTTTTTTTGTTTTTTTGTTTTTAATTGCTGAGCCCCGCCGTTGTCTCCTCACTGTCCTCTGAGACTTACAAAGCATTTCCTGCTCGTGGTGCCTTCTCTGGGCTGTATCTGTTTTGGATTGAGCTAATTAAAATGTTTCCTTCAGAAGAGATTCGCGAACTGCCTTAGCCCATATTCAGCCACTGATCCTCAGGGCATGACTCTCCTTTTGTTTGCACTGGGAATGTCTCTCTGCATTTACATCACCCTTTAACCCTTGGCGTGCTCTGCCTCTCCCCATCCCCAGCAGCCTCCAGAGGGGCTGGGCCGCCGCCAGGAAACGATGGGATTCACCCCAAACTTCTCGGCGAAGTTTGCATTATTTAACACTTGTAAGAGCGGCTTTTTGCCCGGCCTTTGGTGCTGGAGGAGTGAGGGAATGCTGCTTGTTTGGAGCCCCAGGGATTGCGGGATAATGGCAGTGCTGGATTCAATAGAGAAGATTTAGATGCAAAGAAAAGCTGATGAAGTGCTGAAAAGCAAAGTTACCCTGTCTGACCAGGTTGTTTTCACCCAGGAATAATGTTTGTGGTAGAGGTTGCCGTGTCCTTGATGTCGCTCTGGTTCATTACAAAGTGTGGCTAAGGAAAAAAAAAAAAAAAACAACATAAAAAAATAAGAGACTCCTGTTTCCCTGAGCCACTGGGGACTCCAACAACAGGCCTGGGTTTATTTGCTCACAGCTCCAAAAGGTTCCCAGTCAGCAGCCTGCCCAACAAGCTGCCTTTCTTTGCTTCCCCTGACACAATTTCCAGTGGTTCCTCGGCCATTCCTTGGCTTTTTGGCTCCTTGTTGCCTTTCCTCAGCTCCTCTGAGCCACGTGGAGCCCTCCTGCCACCCCATCCTCATCTCCTCATCCCGTTGGGCTGGATCCTCTGCACTCCCTTTGCTGAAATGGGAAAGCTGAACTTCCATTATCAGAAATTATGGATTTTCTTGCCTTGCCTTGCACCAGGAAGGTTCCAGCACAGCAGCACAAACACCAATTTCACCTTGGCAGGATGGCCTGGCTGGAGGGGCTGTCTGGATTCCTTTGGGTGCTGGGCCAGTCCATCCATGGGGCTGGACAAAAACTGTGCTTGGGACCTTGAGGGATCTGTGCCCTGCATTTATTTACTGCAGGGGCTTGATCTAACAGGGCTTTTTTCTCTTTAATGGCTTTATCCTGAGGGGAAAAGGGGAAATTTTTGAGGATTGTAGAATCCCAGGATGGTTTGGGTCGGAAGGGAACTAAAGGCCATCCTGTTCAATCCCTGCCATGGGCAGAGACACCTTCTACCTCCAAGCCTTGTCCAACCTGGCTTTTCCTGTAAAATGGTAAAATAACTAAGAAATTATTCCACAATGCAGAAATATCCAATCTCAGCTAGCCAGCAAAGCTTCTGCAGTGAAGCTTCTTAGAAATCAGATTTCTAATTATAAGATGAGGGCAAGGCAATGATATTCTGGCATTGTGCAAGGGCTGGACGCTGCTTTTCCTGCTAAATATGGTTATATCCATCTATAAAACATGCTGGGGAGGAAGAGAATGAGTTGTCTGCAGGTTCAAGAAAGGAAAATGAGAATATTATGAGAGGAAAAGAAGAGGTCTGTTGTGGCTGTGTATTTACAGCATCACAGGGTCTCACAGCCTGATGAGCTCATGTTTTGCCCAGAGAAAGGATCTGCTCTGCTGCCAGAACACACCTTTGTCTCGGGGCTCAGGGACTGATGAATGTCCCTTAATTTCACTTGCCAAGATAAAGAGATCTTCCTCTTCCTACCAACCAAACACATCACAAATAATCCAGCAAATTTTCCTGCAGCCAGGGTCAGCTCAGGCTGGTCTGGCTCTGGAGCAGGGTGGATCTTTACCCCTTTTATGGGGCTGAACTGGGAGCTGGTGCAGGAGGAAGCCTTGCAGAGCCACTGTCTGCTCTGGGAATAAAGAGCTCCTCTTTTCAGGGAGAGAATTTCCCTTCTGTGGAAAGTGGTGGCTCCCCTTCCCCGGGACTAAATCGGATCCTTATTTAGGGAGGAGGAGCAACGTGTGGAGGAGCAGAGTGAGGCTCTGCACGCACGCTTGACCTGGAAAGACCTGCTGAGGGTGGCTGAGTGCTCCAGGAGCCATCCCCACCCTGCCCTGCCGGCTCCTTTGGGATCCTGGAGCACCACTCCAGCCACACAGCCCTGACAGTAACACCCAGACATCAGGAAAAATCAAAATCCCAAATATGCTGTAACAGGGCGAGGGGCAGTGCCACTGATGGATCGTCCACCCAGATGGCTCCGAGTGCCACAGTGACAGAATCCCAAATGTCCCCTCCAACAGTGCACCCTGTGCCCAGGATCTGGCCCAAGCTCTGGATAAAACTGCTTTAATTCCTGCTCCTGTGCCCCAGCCATGAGGTCACTGCTGGAGGACTGATCCATCTTCCAGCTGGGAGAGCATCCTCTCCCTGCCCAGGGAGTGTTTCCATCCCTCCTCCTCAGCAACCCCAGGTGCAGCTTTGCAGCTTTGGGCCTCGTTGCAATGCTCTAAATGAAGGTGAGGGCAGAACTGGGGCATTTCTTGTGTTTGTCTACGTGGAGCTGAGCTCTTGACCCTGGAATTTGGAAGACATCGATTTTTATCAGTTGAAGAGGATTCTCATTTTTAGCCTCAAAGGATTCCAGGGAAATGTTTGTTCAGTCTCCTCTCCCACCCCCTTCCTGCCTCCTCTGTGTTTCAGGACTTTCTTTTAAAATGCAGAGGCTTTGAACCCCCCAAAGTACCAGGGTTTCCTGCCTGTTTTGTTTTTAGGGAATGCTCCTAAGGGCAAGAAGATGGAAAAGTACTACAAGGGGGGAATGTCCTTATCACCGAGCTGTGAACTTTGCACTTCCCATCCTCTGGATTTGACTGTTCTGTTCCTATAGGGCAGCAATACAAAAACCACACACAATTGTCTCCTCTCAAACAATGATTTGGGAATGTCATTAAAACCTCCAAACTTTTCCTGCAAATTTTTCTGCCATGTGCTTATACTGTGTTAAATCCTCTCTTCTCCAAACAGCCAAATCTTTAAATGATGTTGTTCATTGTTAATTTTACTTCAGACACCCAGTTTTTCTAGAGCTGTCTTTGAATTTTTCTCATTGAATTTTGCAGCTTTAAAGGAATAGATTTTAGCCATGAATGGAAGCCAAAGCGATAAATCAAATTTTTAAAGTTTTCAGTATAATATTTATAACTTAATTCCCAATTTTTTTTTGTATAGTTTGTGAGAACCAGCCCTCCATTAAACGAAGGTGAATGCCACAATTCTATCCAACCCAATATAAACCTAAAGTGTCTTTATGACACCGACTTCAAGTACAAAAGGAAGCTGTAACCAAGGGATCCTTTTCACAAACACACAACAAACAACAGGTCAGAAAACTCCTAAACTTGTCACCTGCAGTGCCACAACGAGAATCTCGATGGCAATGGAGAATTGCGCTGGGAGTCAGAACCATTTCCATGCAATCTGGAGGAGCAGCCCGCACAGGAATTACTTTCCCAAAACTTGGAGCTCATCTTTCTGCCTTTAAGCAGCCCCAGCCACGGCAGGGCTGGAGCAGGAGGAAGGGGAAAACACCGCGGATCTCCAGTGGAAGCCGGCGGGATTCATCCCCCACATCCATCCCAGCCTCCAGAACCCCCGCCCGGAGCTGCCATGAAATCCGGCCGCTTTTCCTGCCTCGGGAAGGGGGGAACTTACCGGGACCGCCACCATTCCCACGGCTCGGGGTTTCCAGGGGATCCCTCCCTGACTGTCCTTTGTGTCCCCGGGACACGGACCGCGTAATTCCCACGCGGGAATCCCACTTTGTCCAAGTTCAGCCGCTCATCCTCAAACTCCGCGCTGGGCGGCAGCTGCCCGGCCTTTGTTCCGAGCGGGATCGGGGCTGCCGAGCGCTGCTGCCATCGCGTCTTGGGAAAACGGGACTCAAGAATGGGCCCAATGTCTGGGCAGGGGCTGTGGGCAGGGGGAACTCCTGGGGGTCTCCATAGGAAACGCTTTCCATTGGGCAGGGGTGTGTTATTAGCGCCGCAGCCCGCCCCGCCCCGGGTCTCCGCTGGGTCCCTCTCGCGGGGCTCTATCCATGGATTCCCGTCCAGAGCCTCTCCCAGCTCGGAATTAGCAGCTTAAGGACAGCCCGACAATGAGCAGCGCGGATTTCCTGAGCAATTAGCCGGGGGACCCAGCCTGGGAGAGCGTGCCCGATGGGAACGAGCACGAAAAGCTCCTCAAAGCTCGGATTTTCCTTCCCGCGGTCGTAATTGTTTCGCCTTCCAATTAAAAAATTAAAAAAAAAAAAAAGAAAAAGTGAGGAGCAGAGGGGGGAGCTGCGAATCAGGAGAACACTGGGTAAGATTAGGAAGCTGTAGAGCAAAGTTGGCCGTGGAAATAAAATAGCAAATATTTCCCTGGGCAGATTTAGAAAGGCGCTGTTTGTTAGGCTGGGGGTTGTTGTTTTGTTTTAAATCTTCTCAGAGGAGCTGACTGGAACAGTCTGAGCTCTTGCCCTGAATCGCTGGATTCCTGCTGGAAAGCCGGTCAGCTTTCCTTCTCCAGGGCCATAATTACAATTACTCAGAGAAGCGTGGCTGCATCTGCCTGGGAGCTGCCCCGCGGTGAATCTGCCCTCTGCCTAAAAACTGCTTCTTTTTCCCCCCTCTTACCTTCGATATCAGCCCTTCAGGTAGGGACGAGGCTCTTCTGGCAGCAGCAGCAGCAGCAGCAAGGCGGCGGATGGTTCATTTTATTCCCTTTTCAGCCCTCTCTGCTTCCATCGGGCTGAAACGCCGGGGCTGCTGCTAAAGCCCAGCCTCCCCCCTAACGCGTCTCGCTCGCATTGTGTTTGTCTCTCCTCTTCCTCCGCTCTCCTTGGCTCTCCCCACAGGCAGCCAAGGCCAGTAAACAACTCATTGTGAAGCTGCGAGGGATGTAATTCCTCGGGCCGGTGGCCACCGTGGCTGAGTCGCCTCTGCAGCGCGCCCGGCTGCTGGCACGGGCTTTTATCCCTGCATGCAAATAACTTCCTGAATATCTCATGTAACAGCCCAGCAGCTCCGGGCTGCTCAGCCCCAGCCTCTGCGAGCCCCCGGCGCAACGAAGCACAAAAACAGGAGCGTGGATTCGGAGCGAGAGCGGCGGCGGTGCAGATGTTTCCTGCTCCCGATGGGCAAAGGTCCATTTTATTTGTTCGGTAAAAATAGAGGCAGAAAATGTGGGGGAATGGTGGCGGCGTGGCCAAAGGCATCGCTGTCCCTGAGTGTGAGGCTGGCAGAGGGCTCAGGATGGAAAACCCAGCCAGTGTCACCAGTAAATTTGCACAGAAACCCATTTTCGTGGCTTGTGGGCATTTTCAGGCGGCTGCATGGAAATGCTGATCCCTGGGGAGATGGGGCTGCTTTTCACACCCATTCTCATGCGAGGATGAGACCTCTCAGTGGGAGCCCATTGACCAACACCGCCGCATTCGAAAGCTTTTTTTAGGGAAAGAAGGATATGGCAGCTGGGTGCTCTGACACAGATTAGGATGAGCTCACTGAAACCTTTTCTCAGATTAACATCTTGAGTCTGAGCTTCAAAACTGCCCGGGCTGGGCAAACCCATTAGAGAGGAGGGTGATGGCCCCTTAAAGATTAAATGCAACATAAATCTTAACCCAAAACTTCTGTGCCTCTTCGAGAATTTAGGCAGAATGTGGTGATTGTGCCAACTTTGCTGCTGCTGGAACGGACCCAGGCAGCTGTGCCTGGCTGGGATGTTTGCTTTCTCTCCGGAGTTATTGGTTTAATTAAACTCTCCTGACAAAAGTCTTCAGCTGTTGGGAACGTCAAGGCCTGGGAGAACAACTCCTTAAAATGTTACAGGAGATTGGGAATGGGATTTATGCCCTTTGTAGAGTTCATCCTTCTAAACCACCGCGGTGATTCCAGCTTTGTACCCATCCGTGGTTGCCATTAAATCCAGAAGATGTAGTGAGCAGGTTATTCAGTCACCACTTGGTTTAGATTTTTTTTCTTTTATAAGGAGCATTTTTTCTGCTACAGCCAGAACTAGAAGCTGGAAAAGTGCAGTCTGTAGGTTGAGCCATAATGGTGTTCTCTAACCTGTAGAGATCACATAAAAACACAAAACCTCCAATTTTGTCCCTATGGAACATAATTTTTTTTTGGTATTGATGAGAAAGAAAACATCCCCAGAGCAATATATTCCTGCTACCCTCCAAGGCACTCAAAGTAATCCATGGATGCCTTTATCCTTCTCCTCCTAAATAGGCCAAATGTTATGCTATCAACCCACTCTGTGTATTTTTTATTTAAATAAATAAAGTACAAACATTTCCAACACAGTGCCCTTAAGAGAGGTTTATTTGCCAAACATGAAGAAAGGAGGAGGCTGCTCTCTTCTTGGTTCCAGTTACAGAAGAGTGTTTGCTTTAAAATGGAAAAACAAGGAACAGACTCCTGGGCTCTTCATCTCTGCACAACCCATTTGGTGTCCCCACCCTGATCCCATGGTGTTCGTCCTAGACTTGGGACAGGGTGGGATTTAGTGAACTCTCCTTGCTAAAACATTGGCAGGACATCAATAATCTGGAGTTATTTTGGAAAACAAGGGAAACTGGGCTGTTATCTTATTGGAAAGTGTGGCTGCTGAGAAGGCACAATGTTTGGAAGCAGAAGTTTCACCCCCTCTTTGCAGAATTTGCTGCCTGTGCACAGAAACCCCATGGAAATGACACTTCTGGGCTGTCTCTGGTTGTGTCAGTGCTGGAGTGGCTTTGGGATGTGCAATTCCCATTGATTTCAGCCAGCCAGGAACACCTGAATTTATGGGATAATTTTGCCTGGAAAACGAGTGTATTGCATTTCCCGGTGATTAACACTTAATTCTTCTGCTGTCAAACCTGCTGAGTATTTTCAGTCAATTGAGGCTTTCTTGTGCCAATTTTCCTACTCAGGGCACTTAGGAGCCCTCCAAGGAGCCAAAGAGCAGAACCCAAATCCAGCTGGCATTTGAAGGTCACTGGAATATACATGACCAAGGCATTAACTTTGTTCCTTTATTGCTCCTTCCCTTCCTGTTCTTTCCTGCCCCAGCAGAACTCGTTTGTCATTTGGGCCTTAAATATTGCATGGCTTTGGAGGATACCATGGAGCCTTCCATCCACAGAATCCATGAACAGGCTGGTGTGGCACAAATGGAGCATCCAGGGGTGGCTTGGTGGCATCTGAGTGGTTTAGGAACCCTGCCTGGGGAAGGGAATATCCCCATGAGCCCCAAACATCGACTTTGTGCCTCAAATTGTTGTATTTGGAATTTTTTGCCTGTCTGCAATGCATTCATGATGTCCTGTCTCGTTCTCTCATCCTGTGGCACAGCTTCTAAAGGTCTCTTGCTTTTAAAGCATCAGCTTTAGGACCACAACTCCTGTGGAATAATGTTTAGTGTCTGGGTGACCCCAAAGGATCATTATTGGGGTGATTAAAGCAGCAGGTTTAATTGTGTTTGAATGGGGTGTTTCATTGAGGGTTTCCAGGAAAACTAAAGGAAAAGATCAGTAATAGTGGCATTTTCCTGGGGGAAAAGAGAAAAATCATCACTTTGCAGAAACCAAGGTTGGTGCTTGAGAAGATTTTAAAGGAAAAATCCTGAACATAACCAGGCTGGATGGGGCTTGGAGCAACCTGGGATAGTGGAAGGCATCCCTTCCCATGGTAGGGGTGGGAAAGTTCTCTTCAGCCCCAATCACTTCATGATTCTGTGATTCTCTAACCTTTCAAGAGCTCATTAATGCTGCAGAATTCCTAATATTCTATGGTTTGTCAGGGCTTCCATTTGAAACCTTTTTTGAAAAGTTTTATAACACAGCAACCAAAAATCTCTTTGGAATCAAATGGAAGTGCAAAGCATCATCTTTTCAATTTTGGGGTTTTTTTTAATAAGCATTTAGAAGAATTTTTAAATAATTTTAAGTGCTGGAGAGAGATGTCAGAGAAGAAAAACAAAAGGGAAGTGCTCATTTGAAGCCGTCCCCTTGCAATTTTAAAAAGGCCTCATTTAAAAATCTCGGTTTGTTTATTTATCAGCACTTAATGTTCCATTACTTTCCTATCCAACAGAACTTTTTGCCAAGAGATGCCAGGATATTTCTTCTCCAAATGTTTAGACCTTTCTGTACTTAATGCACTTAAGCAAAGGCAGGATCATGAGCTGCTGAAATTGGGGAAAAGGTAAAATAAAAATTTGTGCTGTTTGCTGGGTCAGGTAAATCCAAACCTCTGGTGGCACCAAGGCCTGGACTTGAATATCCCTCCAAACCTCCCATTTTGTCCTCAGCCTTTGTTTTTATTTTATCCTTAATAAGCCAGGGAAGTAATCTCTCCAGATGCAGTTCTCTCCCTATCTCCAGCACTCCTTGCTCCTTTGCTTTCCATGTCCTGCAGGAATTTCATCTGGCTCTTTCAAGGTTGTCTAAGTAGTTTCAGAGCCTTTAATTTCTCTCATTGATGGAGAAGGGATTCATTCTGCAGACTTCCCTCTCATTCCTCATCTTTCCCATAACATGGAGCCATTTCCAAGCACAACCACATCAAGCCCACGGTGTCTCCCTGCAGAAATGACCTCTAGGAAAGAAATTCCTGGTTATTCTCTTCTCCAGAGAGAGTTCAGAAACTCACCATGTCTATATTTTCTGTAGGGTCTGGGTTTGCTGGCTCCTCTTTCCCAGTTCTGCTGGGACAGATCCCGGTGGGAATGGACACTGTTGTTTTGACAGGAGGATCCAGCCACTCCGAAATCTTATCCCTGGCAAAGGGAGCAGGTGTTTCCCAGCAGAGCCCCCTGCTCCAGCTGGCCAGAGCCTGATTCCCAGGCTGTGACATCACTCCTGCCTGACAGTGCCCAAAGGGACACCAAAACCCTTCCCTTTTTCTTCCCCTCCTGCAGAGCAGGGTTTTAATGAAAATCCAGAGAAGTAGAGTTGGTTTATTGGGTTTTTTTCTGAATCCTGGTGACTGCTCCTATTCCAGACATGGTGGGGCCAGGGTTTTAGGCAGGGATAGTGGACTGGAAGGTGATGCTGCCCATGGCAGAGGGGTTGAACTGGATTATCCTTGGGGTCCCTCTCAACCCAAGCTGTCAGTGCCAGCAGGAGGTTCCATATCCACATTTCATCCCTCACAGCTCCCCTGGGCTGAGGCTGTGCGATGGCTCTAGCTGGAAAGTGACTTCAGCAAGTGCTGCTGTTTTCCTAGAAGAAAATGTGTTTCACCAAAAAAAAAAAAACAACTGGGAAGTGTGGAGAGCCAGCCTGGTGAGAAGAGCCACCACAGGGCAGAAATGAAGGGAGAAGACACCAACAGAGGACTTGCCCAGGGCTGGCTGCTGTTCCTAGTCAGAAGCACGGAGGGAGGTTAAATTTCAACAAATCCCAAGGACAGGAGAAATCAGGGACTTTATTCTGTGTTCTGACAGCAAAAACTCCCAGTTTTAAAGGGCTGGGAGCACCCCAAACAATCGAGGGCACAGCCAGGCAGGAGCACAATTCTGCTGGGCATGAATAGAAGGAAGAAGCAGCTGAATATCAGGAAATGTTTGGAACAATGCAGAGATTGGGCTTCGCTGGAGGCTCCCAAGGGAAGTGGTAAAAGCCACAAGGGCTGAATAATGGAAAACCAGACAAAACCATGGTGTGTATGTCATGGAGAGAAATCCTTCAGCACAGGCCTGGGGAATTGTCAATTGTCAGGGAGCACAGCATTGCTGTTGTGTTAATGATGTCTTTAAGTGACCAGGTTTGAGTCACAGATTGAAGATTCCTTGCAGAGGAGGGAGGTGGGGAGGCCCTGGCACAGATTGCTCAGAGAAGCTG